AAAAAAAAAACTCTCCTCATACAAGCATCTTTGGAGCTGCAGAGCAGCTTAGGAACATCTGTTAGCATTTCACTGGCCATAGTCAGCATAACTGCAATAGCACCATCTGGGAAATACAGGGAGACAAGTTATAAACCTATTTTTTAATGTGATCTGATATTGAATGGTACCCTTTGCTAAGCCCAGGGAGCAACTCCAGGAGGGCCTTCTAATTCAAGACCACTGTCGACCTTCTGCATCCACCCTGGAGGAGGGGAAAAGGCTGACAAACCCTCTTCTGTGCTGCTTTTGTTTTATTGTATTAGGCTCATAAAGGCACTTTCAGGGCCCATCTTTCTTCAGCAGAAAGGGAAAGCAGTGGGGAAAGGGGGAAGAGGAGGACATGGCAAAAAAGGCAGGCGGAGCTCTATCTCCATTTGTTTTCAGTGTCTGTTGATTAATAGTTTTCAAGGTGAATGGTGAGCTCTCATTCCTCCTCTGTGAGTAGTGGAGGAAGGGGAGTGGGCTCTGGGGGTCCGGGGTACAACTGCCTGATCTGTCTTTCCTTTGTCACATTCCCAGTTGTGGGCAGTCAGGGATGCCCGACGGGCAGCAGCCCGTCCCTGCCCGGTGAGCAGAACTTGGGGTTTTACGTACACTTGAAAGTTGTCCCTGGGCTGGGGAAGGGAGTCCAGTCCCTCCTTGGCTGCGGCCGTGGGAGCTGTGCTGGTGGTCCTGAGAGTTTTGGGCTCTGCTGGGACAGGAGCATCCCCCCTGGACTGCTCGGCCAGGGATGCAGTGGAACGGCCTGGCTGAGGCCAAAGGGTTTGGCTGCTGTGATACTGCAGTGGCACAATGGCTTGGTTTCAGCCTGGGTGGCTTTTTTTTGCGGACCTGCTTTTAGTAAAACCGTGTTATCCCGGCGAGGACAAATCCTCTGGCCTCTCTGGCATGTTTTCCTCTGACTTTGGGTTGATACCATGTTTTTATTACCAAAGCCAAACAAGCTATGAATTTGCAAACAGAAATTGCAGTAACAAACTCTTTCTATTTAAAGGTTGGTTTCTGTTTGTGTGCTCAACAATACCATGTTTCATCTCGTGCAAGTCTTATGTTGCTTTCAGAGACTTAGAAACTATTGATTTATACAGCATGTATTAACTTCTTCAATAAATGGGGAGTATTCATCAGTGGGGTGTATTAAATTGGGCTGTATACGCATAGAAGCATCTTTCATCCTGTTAATGAAATGTCCTTACCATGCAACAAAGACTAATACACAGCAATTTATACACACAATCCCCTGCAGTTTAAATCTGAAGTTTAGATGGGATTTTTGTTCCCTAAAGGCACCTATCAGAACTCAGGCTAAATGGATCTCAGTATCCTTCTCAAACATGTGTCAGTTCAAAATTTGGTGTGGGGGTTGGTCTTTTTTTTTTTTTTCTTTTTCATTCCAGAGCTCCATTATTGTTTAAAGTCATCTGTATTTAAGCACTCCCAAAGCATTTCAAATTCATATAGAGAGATTTAGTACTCGAGTCCCTATGGAGACAATTTCCTTTGGTTTGCTTCAGGCAGGGGTTATCAAGAAAAGCAAACTTCTGTTGTTTTTTTTCAATTCTTCCCCCTGCCCTCTAACCCAGCACATGAGACCCTGGCTTTCAGTGGAGGGGAGTGATTTATCAGCAGATGACTTGGTACTTTGTAGGTGCTGGGATTTCTCTCTAGAAATCTCCACTTGTCCCCATCCTGTTACCGCATGCCCTGATGCTAATCTCTGCGTACCCGTGCAGCTCCCCTTTCCGTGCCTGACATAGCCATAAATTGAGTTCTTCAAGCTGCCAGAGAAATTCCTGCATCTCACAGTGGCTTTTAGCTTAAAACTACACTTGATAAAGTACTCACAAATGTATATTGGAGAAGGGCCTTTTGCAGGGGGATGGCTAAGGTCATCTAATAGGTGTCTCCTATTGATGGCTTCTGTGGTTTACCTTTCATTGCCAGTGGATGGGGTTAGGACCACACTTGTTACTCAGGCAGAGCTCCCATTGACTTCAAAGGAAGATGCATGTGCGGGATTAATCCTGCTCTTTCCCAGCTAGTCTTTTCTTTTTCTCTTTTCCAAGGAAGCTTAGTTAACTTCAGGAATGCTGCTTTTAAAGACCAGCTTATTTAGCATATTACTCATGATTAGCTTAGCTTCCAAATCGTGCCTGCTTTCTGAGCGGGGTTACAGCCCCTTTTCCCAGTAGTGATGAGCAGTGTAAAACAGAATACAAATCTAGGCCAGGGTAGTGGTGCAGATGCAGACTGAAATTTGGGGGCAATGGACTACACTCCTCTGTCCCAGAGAGCATATTTTTGAGCTTGTAGATGGCAGTTTCGCCTTTTCCCCTGGTATCTTCTCCTCATACCTCTGCCTCAGTGTCATCGGAGCAGCAAAAAGGTATCCTACTCTTACACCCAGTACCTTTATATGAATTACCTGTTTGACTGTAGGACAGTCACCCAAATAAAAATCACTTACCTGGGGAACAGTTTGCAGACTAAGGTTGAAACGCATGGTTGATGATATTTGCTTCTTCTTATCTATCTATATATCTATTTATTTATTTTTATCTGAAAGACGTTAGGTAAAATACATAATAGTTCAGCACTTGTGCTGTTCTGTGGAGATATGATGGGGGCTCTTGGAATATCAAAGCAGTGGGTGGTAGTGTCCCACAGTTTACATGTAACCCCTATGGTATGGCTAGCTTTGGTGATACAGGGATTTAAGACCAACTTTCCTCTCACTTGTTGTTTCTTGTTTGTCGTCTTAAGTCTGACCCTCTAATGTTACTCTGTCACTTACTTATTTTTTTAACTAACCAGTTCCAGTTTCTATGAAAATAAGCTTTCCATGGAAGACAACCTTCATTGTCTGTCAGGATCTGGGTGAGGGTTTTTTGCAAGAGTTGGTAGATCACAGAGCTACAGCAGCTACCAGTCACACTGTGAGTCACCTATCAGCAGGTCTTCACACGTTTCTTGGCCAGCAAAAATCCCTCTTATGGGAATGATTGTTTTTTGTGACCCAGATCAATTGGTCATTTGGCATATAATGTCATGTGTTTGTTGAGTAGATGCCTGTTAGTTTGCACGGTGTTAGATGATTTGTTACGTGAAGCCCTTGCCAAGCCTTTCAGTGACTTCTGGGTTGCTTAGGTTGGTGCACTTGGAAGGGAACAGATTTTGGGTTAGAGCATCTCCTTTTTGAATTAAGGGGCTAAATCCCCATAGCTCCTCTGATGCAAAACCATTATGGGTCTCTGTGGTGAAAAGTTGTCCTTGGTTGCACAACTGATAGAAGACCTGACCTGCAGCCCAGCCAACACAACATGCTGTAATTCACAGCGTTGGCTGTCACGACCGTGCTCTGTCCTGCATGGTGGCTACTTGACATGGGACTGTCCTGTGCCATGAAAGTGGTATTAGAGGAGAATCACTCTGTGGAAGGGCTGCAAAAAGGAATACACACGGTAAAAGTTGTGGGAAGCATAAGCACTGCTCTTCGGCTTGGTTTTCTTGGATGCACAGTTCTTCTGCAGGTCATCAAAGGGGGGGAGTCCAATAGCTACTTATGCCCTAGGGTGGGGGTGGCTGGAGAAGCCAAAGCTGAAGCTTAGCTTGACCAAAGCACAGTGGAGGGACTTCTTATTTACTGGGGGGAAGACTGAGGTTTCTTTTCCTCCTAGCTCTTAGTTTCTCTTCCCTCTTCCTTCCCCACAGTCTAGAAACTCACTCTCAAAGAATAGCTGAATTTTTTTTGAAATGCTTTGAAGGGAAGCTCGTAGCGTTCAATCTGAGGTCAGATAATAACTTGTCCAAAGCGGCGCGGTGAGGGCGCGTGTGTTTGGGGGTGCTGGGGAGCAAGCGGTGGGGTCGGAGCTGTCCTTGGGCGGGAGGGTGAGCGGGGGAGCACTGGCGGACCCTGGACGGCAGCGGCGCTATCGGGGGCCGCCGTGGTATCACTGCTTCATTTTAATGTGATTCCTTTTACTTGATGTTAATGCAAGTTGTTCCTTACTTAAAGTAATAAAAGGAAATGAAGACACATTCTAAAATGAAACCTGACTCTAATCCATTCATCATCTAATACCAGCCTCTTTATCTTTGCTGGTACCTAATCTGGTTAAATGTCCCTGTTGTAGGATTTTAGTGAAAATCCTCTATGGGGAATAGGGGTTTTTGCAATTGGATTACTCGCAGTAAATGGTCCAGCAGTTTGCTTGTTTCAGCTTAATTTTTTCTTTGTGATCTTGTAAGGGTAAGTTACAGTTCAGCCTGCCTTTCCCTTTCATTCATTCACTCCTCTTTTTTTTTTTTTTCTGTTGTTAAGAAAAGGAATTTTTTTTTTTTTTCCTCACAGACCTGGGAATGTGACAGGGAAAACCTCATGATATCTGCGTGATTATTCCCCCCCCAAGAGTGTTAATTTCAATGGCTTTATCTGTGGTTTTGCCATTATTTATATAGCTGAATATTTTAGTAGCCTAATTCATCAGTATCCAGTTTCCATTTATTAGCGTGCTCTGATGAATTGATAATTAATCAGCTCTCCTAAAATATATATATATGTAGATATATAAAATATGCAGGTGATCGCTTGTCAGCTTAATGCTTGCTGATGAAGGGAATACTCTAGCACTACAAAGGCTTTTTATCTGGAGTATTTGCAATGAGCAGTAAAATGCAGAACTGAAAGTGAGGACAGGAAGGGGAAAGGAAAAGACCTACAGGTCAGTGAGCATTTGGGTCTTGTGCTAATTAAATGGGGGACTCTCAATCCCTCCCTGAGGAGTCTGCCTGCATCTTTGAGGTGAAGCTCAAGATTATAAAATAAAAAGGGAAAATTTTTAAGAATTGCTGTTGCTCCATACAGGAGCACGATGGGTCAAAAAGAATAAAGAAGCTGCAAGAGCAGTGAAAGTGTGTGAGAAGATTTTAAGCAAGAGGGTGGGAAAATTGCAAGGGTGATGCCGAGAAGGGATCTGGAAAAGCCTGAGGATCGTGTTGAAATCCTGGGTACTCAGATTTCTGTATGTCGTGCCCCACGCTGCAGTGGGGAGTACCCAACGCTCCTCTAACGCCATCAACCTTTTTCTCTTGACAGTCTAACAAAGTGCCAGTTGTGCAGCACCCACACCATGTACACCCTCTTACGCCGCTTATCACATACAGCAATGAGCACTTCACACCGGGAAACCCTCCTCCACACTTACCAGCCGACGTAGATCCCAAAACAGGTAGGTGGGAAGTAGTTTGGGGTTTTTTTGAGATTGGGTGGGTGGATCTTTCTGTGTTGCGTACTGGGGGGAAAAGAGTGCGGGAGGAAGGATTTCCCATGCTGGAGCACCAAAAGGCACATGTAAAATGTCAAACACGGGCAAGAACGTGGACAAAATAGTTTCTTTTTAAGGCAATTAGGCTTCAGAAGGAATCCTGCTGGGTGAATTTTCATAAGGCAGGGTGACACCGGAGTTGCATATGTGGGGTTGTTCACACGTGTGTTTCTCTGCAAGCATGGTACCCCATCTAGTAGTTCGCTCTACCAAGTGCTTGGTTTGCATGCACGAGCCAGAGAGTTAAACATGTACATTCTGTGATCTGCACTTACAAAATTGCAGCTGGAATTTTAAAGGTGGTGGGTCATGACCGGTTTCAAAATGAATCTCCTTTAATTCCCCAAATCCCATTGTTTCTGTGTCAGGAGTTCAGCCATTTTTCTCCTATAATGTTGAATTTTCATCCACTTAGCTCTAGCTCTGTACTTGCAACTCTCTTCCCCAACGTAAGTCTACCCAACTCTCAGTTCAGCCTGAAGGGCAGTCTTCTTGAATATAGAGCACCATGTAAAACCCTGACTAGATTTATTGGTGTTACAGAGTAAATTTACATGTTATTCTAACTTTTTAAAGAGTCCCTGTTTAACCTGAGGGCCCAGAGAAGTCAGACAGTGTCAATCTTCTTTCTTCGGGCTGCACTGAGTTCCTAGTGACAGTGGGTTTGTTTTTGTTAATCCAAATCCCAGTCGGTTAATTGGAAAGTACATCAGAAACTGAATTTATGTCAGCGGTATTGCTCTGTGTCGGCCCTAACGTATGCAGATAATTTATCTAAAGTCCAGCTCTTCAATGAGGCCGTGCATTAGCTGTTTTTCACTCCTTATGCTTCAGTTGGGGCCCCCTTTTAATTGTGCTTAATGCTAACTTCACATGGCTTAAAAGAAATCCATCTCGCCATCCCTGCCTATTGCAAGTGAATGGCATAGTCAACCTCTCATTTAAATAATGGTAGTACAGGGAATAGCTTTTAAATGGTTATCGTAAAACGTATGATTAACGTCTGTAGACTGTTTACTTTTCTTCTGTGAACATTCTTTCAAGTGTGCAAATAGCTCGGCAGCCCAGTTAATCTGTTTGGGTTTTGTAATGGAGAAAAAGCAATGTCTGCATGAAAATGTCACACAAGGAGATTTAATTTAGAGATTAAAAGCTTCCTGAGTGACTTAAAAAAATAGTTTGTAGCCATGAATACAGTACCCCTTCCTTTTAATGCTCTCTGTTTTAATTTTGCTTCTGCTGTGTAATTGTGCTCTGGCTTGTTAATTGAAAGACTCAGTCTTGTAACCCTTACTCGCTGCGTAATCCCTGCTTGCTCTTAAGGTAAGGAGAGTTAAGATTTAAGCCTTCTGTCTGGAACTGGTTTCTGCTCTCCTACTAGGAACTGCACCAATTTCAGAGAGGACAGATGGGCTCTCTGTCCCCCGTGCACACCTTTGGCATCTGCCCCTCGTTTTAGCAAGCACTTCCAGGGGTTCTCTGCTCCTAGGTTTTGGGAAAGTTTCCTAGGTTTGCTGAAAAGCAAACAGCATTTGCAATTGTAACGGCTTTGTAGCTCGTTTTGGAGGTTACTTTGGAATAACGCCATGCTATTGAGTACACAAAGTATGGGTAGGGCCTGTGCTCTTTTGGTGGCTTTCAGACTAAAATAACCACAAAGTTGATACAGGGACCATCTTTCTGTTGAGCGTTTAAGACGCTAGCGTTTAAGCACCTAGCACAGCATCACACCAAAACGATAGCTAAGACTCCTAAATTCTCATCCTAAATAACAAAATAATTCTCTCTGGTTGGAAGGGTGACTGAGGGAGCGAATCACATCAGTTTTTCTAGTTGAATCTCATTTAACAAGATGCCAAGAGTCTCACTTTATAAATTAAGACTCTGAAACAGACTTGGGAAACCCGAAGTGAGGGCATGAGTATTGTAATAAACGAATAGGTAGCAATTTAGAAACCTATGTGCTTTTTCCTTGTATTTTATTTATTTTCATGTATTAATACTAATGCTGCTTTATGTTGCTTTTCCATAGGAATTCCAAGGCCTCCACATCCTCCAGATATATCTCCTTATTATCCGTTATCACCGGGCACTGTAGGACAAATCCCCCATCCGCTAGGATGGTTAGTACCACAGTAAGGAGTTCCATTTTTTTAATTTCCTTTTTTCTTTTTTGATGTGTAAAATTTATGTTAAAACTTGCATGTGTGTGTGTGTGTGTTTGTCTGCTCATGTGTGTGTGTGCAGTCTGAGATAAGTCTGTTTGCCAACTGCCACTTCACTGAGTGGTTATGAATTTACCCACCTCATGAAGATTAATTCAAACTTACACCAGGTCATGTGGTCTTAAATAAACATCAGCAGTTGGGCATAGCGTTGCATGTCATCTCAACCAGCTGATGACTTGTGAAGCATGAATTTTTAAACCCTTATGCAGAAATGTCCTTTTCTTGTTAATATCTTTACACTACACCACATGGGGTTTTCTCAAATTTGGGTTTCTGGCAGATCAGGTTGGTTTTAATGGCTTTCTTTTTAAACAGGGCCATCCTCACTATAAATGTGCAATTTTAAATTTCATTGGCCTTCCCTGTTGAAACCCCTTTCGTTTTTCTTCTGAAACAGTAGAGCTTTACATCAGCCAGTGAGCAGCATTCTTGGTCGAGATGTGGTGGGGTAGTTGGCATCCGAGGAATGGAATTTTCTTGCAAACAAGAAAGAGGAATTAGTTTACTTTAAAACTGGCTAAGAAAAGTCATGGATAGTTAGTTTGAGGTTTCGTTTTCTCTTCAGCTACTCAAATCCCACTTGTAGAGAGTCTTGTTGGGTATGAGTTCCCCTCCAGTAATTAAGTCTTTATTTTTTTTTTTCCTTATGTTTCTATCTCTGCAATGGGTTTATAATGCACTTAAGCACTGCCTAGGCCTTTTGTACAGTATATTTGATTTAAATAACTATAAAATACATTTGTATTGCTAGATACAACAGTCCTCCACATTAAAAATCAAGGTTATTACCCTATTTTTCTCAAATATCAGGCCTCATCAATATTGGAGAGATCATATTTCTTTAGAAATTAATTGCCCAAAGCTAGAAATAGTTTTTTCCTGCTGTTTTTTGAAGGTTGTTTGGCCAGCTGTTCTAAAATACCTCTCCACAAGTTTGCCTTCCGTAAGAGAGTGGGATTCACAGCCTGTAGGAGAGCAGAGCAGGGGTTCCACACATACAGCCAGGTCTCTGGCAGGGAGAGGGGGATTGTCATCAAAGGCTTCAGGGTGCCTTTCTCAAGCACCGAAGTGTGGATGCAGGAGAGCTGGATCTTAAATCTCAGCCCACTTCTGGCCATTTTGCAGGCTGTCCTTCATCTCAGGGTGGTCATGCAACGTGCTTGGGTAGAGGCTTTCCCACCTTGAGGGTGAAGCATGTCCATCAGTTGCCTGCACAAGGCTGTTTCTGTGGAAGAGCACATTATGAGCACAAGAAAAACCCAGGGCATTTCTCTGTGAAATCTTAAATTCCTCCGCATTTGTGGTGATGCTGGTAGAACGTGTGTCAGCTCCTTTTCTTCTCGTCCCTTTCTTGCAGTACAGCCAGCTCTACTGCAGCTGCTTACCTCAAGTTTTCAGTCATTTAAAACAAATGTACTCAGCTAATGCCGAAAGTCAGTAATGATAAAGACATGAGAGTGTAGTGAAGAAATTCCTTGCTGCTGTTGACCTGTGCCTCATTGTACATCTGTGTCTCAAAGCCTTAGAGACACAGGTTTGTCCTCTATGTCATGGCTGCCAAACCATATGAATGTTGCCACACGTGGCCAGTTTCATCAGGCAGGTGCTAATGGCCTCCTTTGTCACAGGAAGACTCTCTCACCACCGCTGGTTTATAACAAGCCAACACCCATGGCGTACTTATCTACCCACAGCTCTTACAGCTTCTTCGAGTGGGTTTTGTTGAGGGATGATGCCATCAGACTTGCTTTTGCTCTTGGAGAGTAGTATGGCCAACTTTGCAGAAATAACCCAAGGCTTTTATTTCCCCTCTTGTTGCCTCATGCTTCACCATCAACTTCCCAACCCATCTATCCTCAACTGGCCTGGATGTCTCTAGCATAGTACCCCCCCAGAAAGCATCCTGCCCAGTCAGATGATATAGTTGAAGGACAGATGAAAAGAACTAGCCAGCACAGACAAACCTCAATCAGAAAAAGTTGTGTGTCTTTCATGAGGATGCTGTTTTGCATGTTGCTGTATTTTTTAATTATTGTAATGAGGTGTGATTGTCTATTGGTTACCCACAATACTTCTTGGGGACTCTCCCCCGGTAACTCTTGTCAACACTTGTTAATCTGACAAAAGGCTACAAATTAAGCTCTGTTAATTTAATGTTTTCTCACCGAGATCTAAATACCGAAAGAGGCCCAAAGCGCAACTGAAGTCCTTTGATTCACTGTACTTTATTTTGGTATAAATTTACATTCATTATTGTTTTCCTTTGGATGTGTAGCCCTCAATTAGTGTGATGGCTCCATTAAAGCAAGCGAGACTTCGCCTTTAATTATTACAACAAAACACCTAGTTTCAGCTTGGGGAGAGGGTCTCTATTGACATAAGCAGAGGTTATAAAATTTAATTAGCCATTCCTATCAGATTTATGGCATTCAAATTGTTCTGTGTTTCTTTCCTTTGATCCTTGCTGTACAATCCCCAAGATTTTTGTTCTGATCAAATGAGAATAAAGCTTACTGTGCAGAGAGAAGTTTTTTGTTGTGATTTTTTTTTTTTTTTAATCTTTTTTTTTTTTTTCCCTTCTTTTTTGCCAGGCAAGGTCAGCCAGTGTACCCAATCACGACAGGGGGTTTCCGCCACCCTTATCCAACAGCTCTGACCGTCAATGCTTCCATGTCAAGGTGAGTTCAAATGCTGAGGTCCTGAATGGAGAGCAAATGTAACTCCTCCTGCCTCCCTCTCTAGTGCAGGGCGTTTCACCAAGGAAGCAGATTTCTGAAAAAAATTCAGTTAAATAGTCATTCTTACTTCTTTGGTGGGGTGAAGGAGGAAAGGATGAAGGGGGTACCTTCCCATTTGAGGAGAGAAAGGTGTCTTAGTGCTGTCATCGGGCTCTAAGAATTTGTTTTTGAGGGAGAGGTGGAGCAGTGGGAAGTAGTCTTTAAAAGCCAAACTGAATGAAAAAGCTGGGAGAATGTGATGTTGAAAAAGCAAGGAGGAGAAGTCATGATACCTTTTGCTTTCTCGGTGGCTATCACCCAGAGCAGTGCTCTGTGTGTGAGAGGGGAGTTGCGGGAGGGAGGAGGGCTGCTCTTCAAGCAGAGTTGGGAGGAAGGTTATTACACTATGTTTTCCCCTACCAAAGCTCCAAACACTGATAGTCAACATAAAAGTGCCTGCCTGACCCTCTAAAGCTTTAGAAGTATATATTTCTCCCCCTCCCTGCCTCCAATTAATTCCATCTAATTTTCCAGGGGCTGCTAGTTTTATTTACAAACTGGTTGGCAGCACTATGTTTAAGTAATCACTAATTGCTCCTAATGATAGTTTTATTTTCTGTTCATCTGATTTTCAGTCTGGTTAATTAAATCGGTGGAGGTTTAGACTTTCCTGATGGGCTGAAACAGCTAATCCATTTTGATGATGGCACATAATTAAATTAGCATGCATTACATAGCAAGGTTCCACGTCTCTTCTCTGCTCTGTCCCTTCCTCTCCATCTCTGCAGTTTAATATGTGAAGGTTGGTGTGTAGAGGATTTAAGGAGGAAAAGACTGGGGGCGGAGGGAAGCGGGGGAAACTCACCTCATTGAGAAATGGAAACCTGTAACTAGAGCTCATGAGTGAATGGGTAGGGAAATAATAGTGTCATGTCTCCTTTAGATAAGTAGAGTAAAAGCAAAAAAATTAAAATTTGCCCATGTTGCTCCAGCAAATAGAGAGACAACTGTGGAAAATCAATTTTTAAAAAAAATGTAATAGAGCCAGCACAGGGGAGGAAAAATCCTGGGTTGGGGAGAAATCTGCAAATTTAAACAATGGTTCCCTCCCCCCATTTAATCTTTCTTAATATCTGTAAAAGACTTGCAGGCATGGTGTGAGGCAAAGTAGAGCTTGATTTAGTTTAATTATTATTAGAGAGGCTAGTCATTTGAGGGAGGGGGGAGATGTGGGAGGGAGGAGGCTATATTCCCAAGATAGGCTTTATGAAAGGTATCTAGTTAAAAAGAGTACACAGCAAATTAAATACATTATTGTGGTAATGGGACGACAGAAGTAGAGGTCTATTATACTTATGGCAGTTATAGGAAATGTAGGCTCCTTGCCCTGTTCTGGCACATCCTTTGATATTCATTCCATTCAGCAGCAGGGCCAGGACTTCTCAGAATTAAGTGATGGGTCATTATACTTTAAACACCATGGAGAAGCCTAGATTGGCAATTAAACAGCACTTGCTGACACTCGCTTGTGCCACCCTGTGACCCCCTTTAGATTGAGTTGTTGGAGCTCGGGGCCCTCAGCCTGCTAAATTGGTAGCAGGCACTTCTCCTGACGAGGGCTGGCTCTGAAATCTGCCGGCTTCAAAGGGAGCAAGATCATGTATAAACCATAATGTGGGTGCACCGTGGCTCAAAAAATAAGGCAGGAATAGATGAAATGTTACAAGTGCAAGGGGAAAATGAGAGAATAATGACAAATCTAATGCAACTCAAAGCAGAATTGTTGCACAGAAAAATGCATCCCACTGCTTGTGCATAAAATCAAGGCAGGCAGATGACATCCAGTTAACAGAAACATGTCAACAGTGAAGTAAAGTGAGAGTGAGTAAGAGAGAAGCCCCTGAGACAGCCAGGAACAAAAAATTAGTTGTCCTTAACAAGTTAAGACTCATCATTATATTCTGGCTTGGAGCCATAAAAGGAGACAGTGGTGTATAATGAGCTGCTTAGAATTTTTAGGGTGTTTATTGCAATTCATGGAATACTTGTCTAAAGAAAAAAATACGAGGGGATGTCTTAGGCAAAGGTGAGGGGTGTGCACACACGCACACAGCCTTTCTTTTCGTCTCTGACATAAGCCCGTACGTGCACACATGCTCAGGCGCACACGCAGGGTGATGAATAGATTTAAGATGTTTATCCTTTGTTTCAGCCCAGAAACTTCTCTCCTGGTTTCCCATACATGGGAACACCCTCTGGGCAGACCGTGCTACGATACGTGGTTCAGTGCATGTTTCCTCATGCCTGCCGTATCAGCTGGAGTGCCTGAGCTCAGCGGTGGGACAGCCCTCGCCCTGAGTAGCCAGCGTAGCTGGGAGATGGGGCTGGCGTGCCCGAGGATGCCCACGCTCGCCTGCAGACGTGCCATTCCTGGCTGGCCTCTGGGCAGCAGTCCTGCAGGGCGCTGGTACAAGCCTTGGGGTCATGGTGTTGGCTCTGCTCATATGTTGAAGCCAGGGCAGACCCCGACCTCACCCCTCCATCCATTTTTTTCCAGAGCCTTCCTTTAAAAGTAGCTCCTGTCTTTGCCTGCATTATGGTATAGACCTTTGGAGCATATAATGCTTCCCAACCCTGAATATTCCCGAAGCTTAGTAATTACAGTTCCTTAGTTAGACTGTGCTTATGAATAGTTTATAAAAGGTTAATGGGTGACTAATAGTGATTTTCATAAATGGTTTAGACTATTAAGGTAGTGTCTTCAGGTTGTTTTAACCATTTACAACTCTTTCTCTGCTTGTAGCATCACCCCACTCACTTTGTAGGCGTGCAACACGCTTACAACATCTCTTAATCCTTCACTGCCCTTCTATAATATGCCCCTGATGTAAATTGAGTCAGGGTTAACTGACTGATGGGCAAACAGTGGACCCACTATGAAAAAACAACTGCTGTGAGAGAGAATCAGGAAATAATTTAGCAGAATTACACCAGACAAACACTGCACAGCACTGAAGTGGTGGCAGTGGAAAATACCTTCTGTAATTGAAATTTCAGGGGAAATTCACTTTTGCTGAATGTAATCACTGAAGTTGGAGTGTAGCCAGGAGCTTAAAAATTAACATTCCTCCCCTACTCGTATTGCTGTGTGACTGGATATCTACATGGAAATAAGTAGGCGATCAGACTTTGGGCTGAACCCTCACTCAGCCCACTGAAGTCCATGGGATTGTGAAAGCAACTTTGGGTTCTGGAGCATGTTTTTAGAGTCCCAAACATAGGAAGGGGTGTGTAAGTCTAAGAGGGCTTTGTGCCCTGAAAGGAAAGAGATTCAGGGTGAAATAATGAATGGTCATTGGTAATGAACACGCGACTTCCTTGGGGAAGCTGCCACCCTGAAAATAACTACTGAGCTGCAGCAGCATGTTGCCAAATGCTGCCGTGTCTCTGAGGTTTAGAGCTCAGTGGGTAAAATCTCAGCCCACCTGAAGTCAGTGGAGGCTTTGCCATCCTCCAGGCTTTCACACAACATACATTTTAATTTTTTACCAGATCCTCATTTGAGAAGTGAGTCTGTGGCCCAGTTATCATGGCCCCATCATGGGATCCTCTTCAGAAGTTTAACAAGCACCATCCTTTGTCCCCATTAACAACAGGTGTAATCAGTCTTTTGTGATACTTGGCAGCCCTTCTCCAGTGATGAGTCTAATCTTACTCAGGTCCACTCTCATACCCTTCCCTCCTTGTGCTACCACTGCACTCACCTCTTCTCCCTTGCTGGCATATGCCCACTGCCCTTCCCACTGTGTCCTCATGCCAAACAAGCACAGCTCTTCCTGCCTTCTCTCTGAAGGTAGGCTTTTCATCTCCGTTATCATCCTGCCTTGCCCTGTTGTCATGGCTCTTTTTCCAGTTGGGACTCTAACTAGCCCCAGCAGCATAGTCCTCTCTTGAACGTTGGGTCTTGTCTAGGACAGGCAGTTATTCGGTAGTATGTGTGTCAGCTTTTTATCACTATTCTTATAGTGATTTTTTTAAACTCCTTTCAGTGAGGTCAGGATTTTCCATGGGTTTTATTTTCACCCATGTTTGTAAAGTTTTTTTTTTTTTAAAAAAAAGCTCTTACTGTCAGTTTTTATTGTTTGCACTGTGCAATGGCTGAAGGCTCCAGGCACTGTACGAACAAACGTTAAGTATGTCCAATCAAAATATATACACACTAAAATAAGAGAGGGGGAACAGGGGGGGAAAAAACAAACCCAAAAACCTCAAAACCTAAGCCCTATAGAAAGGCCCAGCTTGTGTCTTGCTGATGGTGAGGCAGTTCTGTGGCAGAAGTGGGACCCCGGACGCCGTTCTCCTTGCAGCCTCGCCCTTGTCTTCTGTTCTGACCTACCATGCACCAAAGCATTTCCCCAGACGTGCGTTTCTCTCCCAGCTACTCTTGTCAGAGAGTGAGGAAGGCACAATCCCCTTGGAGGTTTGAGTCTGTGAGTCTTAAGCAGAAGTAGGAATGGCCATTTTGCTGCCCATTCTCCTCTTCCCTTGACATCACACCCTCCTTCCCTTCTCTCCATGCCTTTGTTTGTGAGGAGCTGCAGTTCTGTACAGCTTGAACAATTTCACATTCTCCCTGTCAGTCGCTGCTCTTCCCACCACTGCCTTCAAAGACAAAATACTTCTGTCTAATGATCCTGAGTGCTACCAGTTGGTAGACAAAGATCCTCAGAGCTCATAGTGGACAGTACCTCTTGTTCATGAAAGTACTACT